AAACTTAGTATAATTTAATGAGGATTTTTAACTATTTATACAATTCCAAATTAATCTATGTTAATGCAATAATTAATTAACATGCATATTAATTCATGCAATTCTAAATTAATCTATGTCAATGCAATAATTAATTAACATGTTCAATAATTTATGCAATTCTAAATTAATCCATGCCAGTGCAATAATTAATTACATGCATAATTTATTGACACAATTCTAAATTAATTCTATGCATTACATAATTAATTAACATGCATAATTAATCTAGCAATACTAAATTAATCCCATGCAAGAACATAATTAATTAACATGCATAAATAATAATTTAATGGCATAATAAATTTAATTAAATAAATAAATAAATCCACTATTATGGCCATTAAATATTGAGTCTCCTTAAACAAGGAAACTGTGACAGTTCTTTTCCCTGTTCAACTGGAACTCCTTTAAGCAGTAGAATCCTGGTTGATCTTGTACTGCTTGGACAAGAAGGCAAAACCTCTCCACCTCCTGCAGCCAACCGCCGACTGCCGCCTGGCTGCCGCCCGGCCGCCGGCCGCCGCCGCCAGTGGTCGGAAAAACGCGCCGTTTCCCTCTTTTTTTTTTCTAATTCTTCGAGGCTCGTTGATCTCTTGTGATCTCCCGGTTATCAACACACGATCACAACACGAAAAATATAATTTACAAAATTACATAATTCGATCCTAGATCCAACGAATGGATGTACATGTTTTCTAAACAAATAATTAAATCTATCCGGTCAACCCCCGGGCGAATAATTATTACAAACATTCATCCATAAATTCCTCGACATGCCCGAGGCTTTAAAAACAAATTTAAAACCATACATCACATTCAACAACATTCATCAAACACATAATCGGCCATAATAGTGGATTAACTATTTTCCTGCAAAACCGAGTTATGCAAATATAATCCAATATATGGCTGCGTTTGAACACATCTTGTCAAATAAAGCCGTAAAAATTCGAACTTTGTACAAAACGAATTAACCAAGTGCTCTGATACCACTTGTTGGGATCTGTGAGGATCTCGTTATGTACAAATCACGAATTCAATAGCAAACGTAAACCTATGCGCAGCGGATCTAAAGGTTTGACGTAGAGAACTTACGGCTTAAAATTTATGTAGATCTGGTTGACCACGAACGGTTGACCGCAATTGATTGACCGCAACACGCGTCTTGGGTTGCACGAACAAGATCAGATCAAAACTGGATCAAACGGATGCAAACAGATCAAAACGAAATTTTGCTGCCAGACACCTTCCGGCGGCGCGTGAGGGCGCGTGCGGCGTCGGATTCCGGCGACGTCGGCGGCGATGGAAAGCTCTCGTCGAGACGGTCGTCTGGGTATACTGTACGTCTCAATCGGACTTCCGGTTAGTTCTGTAGGTCAAAATCAATTTCGTCTCGGTTTACCTACAGATCTTCTACTGTATTACTCAATACACCCTTCTTCAACTTGTACCAGTGGAGCAACAAGAAGAAGATAAAGCTCGAATGAGATCTAGAGAGAGAGGCGTGTTTCACGTGAGAATGAATTCTATTCTCTTCTCATGAGCTTAATGATGTATATATAGAGCTACAGTAGGGACCCTAAGGAGATTAGGAAAAGGGCTCCTTAATTAATTAGACTAACTGTGGGCCAAACCCACTCCTCTAATTAATTAAATAATATTAATGGGCCACCAACATTATATTATTGCACTCCCTTTCCCTAGCCCAAATTACATTTGAGACTCCAATAATAATTACTCGATTTACCTCCCCACGTTTAAGATATAATGTCCATTAATTAATTCGATTACTGACAATCAAGAATTAATTAATTTATTATTATTTCACCGAAGCTAGCGCTCGTTCATCACATTCTTATTATGCCGGAATTTAATCCACCTGCAGGGTTTAGCATAACAATCCTTCATGAACTCACTCCGGGGACATCATCAAACTAACGCACATGGTGACCGTAAATATCCTAACAGCACATCCTATATATAATAATATTACCCAAAACAGTAGGAATATTAATCCAGCGAACTGAACCTCACCCATGTGAATCAAAGTAATATATATTATATATATCTGCCTGTTTAATATCTTACGGGTTAAGAGAACGCAGTAATTAACCGAGGCCTAGTTCATTTACGACGATCAGTATAAAATGAACTTCTCCTCTCTGGGATCCTGTTCAATACATAAATGTACTAGTGCAACTAATCAGTCAAGACAAACTGTACAGTTGACACTACAACCGTTCGGATGGGGTGTTCATGTCCATCTAGGTTGTGAACAACTATTCTTGTTCGCAAGTGACTGATAGAGTGATCTTCGGTTCGCCCGATGACGACCCACCCTATCTAAGTGCAGAACAACAGAACGTAGAACTTGTTTAATCTAACATGATTCTCATTCATAAAGGGTAAATGTATAATATCATGCAAAGCCAAGCTTTCAGTATATAACACTAACACACCTCTCGAGCTATTTTGCAGGTCTTTGAACTGAACGTGAGTTGATTCATGGTTGTTACGCCCGGTCGAGGCTGTTTGCACACCACATTACAATATAAATTTCAATAAAAATTATTATTCATCTAAACTACATATTATTTATAATTATTATTTTATTACATCACATCAATTTTAATCATTACATTTCAATTTTGTTGAATAATGTTGACGAGCGATTGTCAATGTTCCTTAATTGCAAGATTAAGGATAGATAAATATTTATTAGGTACGTGTTTGATAAGTATTATGACAGTACGAGATAAATTACGATGTGAGATAGCAAATAAATAAAATAACTCACTTTTTCGTCGATCTGTTGGGAGATCAACGAGGAGAAGGGCTCTCCGAAAGAATGACTAGCAAATGACTATTTCTGAATTAATAGATGCGGAGTGGGTTTATGTATGCTAGTCTATAAGGTTTTTTTTGGTGTTTAGCTTGACTTAGATTGTACTAAAATAAGGTGTCGAGGGGTCACCTTTATATAAGAAAAAGTGAAATGTAATGGTGATTGGGTGTGCATTGATGGCAAAGAAGAGGACATGTGGTGCCATGGAGAGTTCTTATTTTTAAGGTCGGGACTTATTTTTTCAGGTGTGTAAGACATAACCAATTTGGACGATGAGATGAGACCCTCTGGGCGGTAGTGTCACCGTTTTCAACGGTTTTAATAGTTCAGCCTGTCAGAACGAATTCATACCCTGCAGAGCGATCGACGATAGGCGGTCGCAGGAACGACATATATCGATATGGGACGATTGGGTGATCGGCATATTGTCCTTTCATTGTTGGGCTGCGCGCACTAGTATGCATAAGCCTCACTTAGGTGTGAGGTGCTTTAGAGAGAATGGTCATGCTCCCGTCTTAATCTTACGAACTTTTTGAGGAAACTTTCAAGATATACACCACAAGGGGTTCTCAAGTTTTCAGGTCACTTAAGAGATAGCAAGATCACAAATGGGAGCTGGAAAGTTGTGTGCAATATTCTCCACCTTTTTGTGAAAGTCGACTCTGTTGGATCGACATCGAGTATCATCGGAACGGGATTGCAGTAAAATTTTAGTTCCATTTCATGGCGGTTTGAGAGAACACAACTTTTGATGGGACATATGGTACTTGTTGAGGATGGGGACGTGTAAACTTTTTCGATAACCGATGCCCTTAGATCGGTTTCAAGGGTTACTTTTTTGAGCTATAAACAAATGCATCTTTTCATTCATTTCTTTTATCCTATTGTCCACAAAATCTCCAAAACGATATCTTTGAAAATTCCCAAAAATTTAGAATTATATCCTCGGTTATTAAAAATGTCGAAAAACAACCATGACTTTGATATGGAAGAGGCACAAGCATCTTTAAGGAGTAACTGGGCTGGCCAAATAAGCTACTCCGCATGAAACTACAATACCAATCCCCGAGGGCAATGACCCACATGGACAGGAACCCGGTCCAAGATGTCAAGCCTGCAACTGCAGTAAGAACGCCTAACAAGACCCTATCCCTCAGACCCAAAACCTTTCCTAGGTAGACAACCCCAGGATCTGAAACAGGTGACTAGTCTCTAACACCAACCTCCACACTGGCCGACAGCCAGATGCCAACAGGGCGCCGGAACCAATGACCCACACAACCGGCTCAGCCTGCCGCCCAACCCCAAGGACGACGGGAAGAAATGGGAGGAGAGGAGAATTATAACAACTCCAAACTCCACCCCTTTCGCTAACCGGCATCTCAAGCTGACAAGTCATCGCAACCACGACCACCCTCCACCGGCGAACACCTACCGCCCATCACCAGGAAGGCAAAGAACATGAGGAACATATAAGCTAATCTCATATCTGACCATCGCAAGGTGGTAATTGGAGCAAGCCGCCCAGCCACACCGACAAGCAAAAACAACCTCGAGAAACTGAAGACCACCAGCAACTGCGGCGAGATGCTACCCAGTAGAGAGGCCCACAACGCGACAGAAGTCTGGGAGCACGGTCTGAAGGTGAGCAGCAACGCGGCGGCGCGGAGCATCCCTATGGAGAGGAGGCCGACGACGAAAAATGAAGCTAGATCTATTGTGCACAAATTGGGGAAGATATGCGTGGAGAAAGAAAAATTAAACCTCACGGTCACTTTATTGAACTTTTTATATAAATCATAGCAAAGAGGTGGTGGGTTAATAGATATTAAAGAAATAATGAATTTAATTTATTTTTATTATTTAATTATCTTTAAGTAGACTTGTCAAAAAATCGAACATTTCATAACCTCATTTGTTAAAGTTTGACTTAAAGCTCAAACGAGCCGAGCACGACCCCATATAACAGCTCGTGTAGTTAACGAGTCGAGCCATCTATTTACTTAATTTTGGCCGGACTCATTAAAAATCGAATTCAACTTACTATGAAGTTAATTATTTTTCATATAAAACAACTCAACAATGTAAAGATTTGTAAAAAGAAAAAAGAGAAGAAAAATATTCAAAACTGGCCAATCGTAAAAACGCTATCTGCCTTTAGCACTGTATATTTATGGAACTCCCAAAGTGAAAAGGGTTTCCAAAACTTCAGATAAATCTTCTCTTCGCTGCCATATCGATCGTGCTAAACAAGCGTAAATTTTCAAATACCTGCAACTGGTCGCGTACACTCTGTGTGGTTTGTTGTGCGTTTCGTTCTCTGCATATCGAATTTCTTCATATTTTCAGAGGAATTTCGAGATAAAAAAGGAGGAGTGACTGAAGAAGGGATAAGGCAAAGCGCCTTGGCTTTGCGAGATTAGATCTGATGAGTACAAGCAGGGGAAGCGGTGCCGGCAATGGGGGCGTGGTACAACCCATTCCGGCTGGGTCGCGGAAGGTGGTCCAGAGCTTGAAGGAGATAGTTAACTGCCCGGAGGCGGAGATCTACGCGGCTCTCAAGGAGTGTAATATGGACCCCAACGAGGCTGTCAATCGTCTGCTCGCTCAAGGTTTTTACCTGAAGAACCCTAAAGATTTATATTTTTTTATTTATTCATTTTTATCTCGCTCATTTTTTGTTCCCCTTAACTGTTATTTATGGAGCTTCAATGTAGAATTTGTGATGTGAATCTGCAGTTATGTGTATGTGTTGACTTTGGAAGGAAAAAGATTTGTTCTTTGCATTGTGGTCACTGAAGACGAATGCAAACCAGAATCTGTTAGTATTTGTATTGTGTTCTTTTGTCTTACAAGAATGATAAGAAAAGGAAAAGAACTTCCAAGAAATGTTTTTTGTCTTTTCTTGGATAAGAAAATGCCCAGGAGCTTTAGACGATATTTTAGTGATGTTTCTGTTATTGGATAAAAAGTTCAGAAAGGTATATCGTTATTTGATGTGATCAGTGATCTCGTGATATGCCATGTTACGCCGATAAGTAACTGAATTTTAACTAGCTGAGTATCCCTTTGCAACTAATAAGAACTATAATAATGGATTCTTTTGGTTCTATTTGATAGCTGATTGCAGACCTCTCATGTAGTTACTTTGAGAGACTTTTGTTACGTGGTCCTGTAAACTATTTTATCACTACGGCCAGTTGAGTAAAAGTAACTGCATGACACAGCTCTGTTGGAAGCTGAAATCTGTAATCATTGTGTGTCTTTTGTTTACTTCAACTGATTTCTTACTCCATTTTATAATTATGTAGATCCTTTCCATGAGGTGAAGAGCAAACGAGAAAAGAAAAAAGAGGTTTGTTGCTGTTTTGAATAAACAATATCATCTTCTCCGTCTGCCTCAGGCTGTCCACAATACGCGCTGCAGCGTTGCTTTTAGCAGTCCATTCCTTTTGACAGCACAGTCTGCTTTCTTATAATAGCAAGAAAATTTGGTTGAAAATTTTATTTTTCCATTTTTTTATCGGTCAGTACCATGAATCTGCAGATCAAATATGCAAGAGTTTGTTAGGTTCTAGTCTTGCACTTATGTCTCACTTGTTTCTTTTATTTGCTCCTCTTTCCAACTACAGAATGGTTTAGGTTTTTATGAGGCAAAGGCCTACTATTGCTGGTTACTTTTATTTATTCTGTTTTGGGACTCCAATGCTATAGCTTTGTGAATTTGTGATTTGATTGCATAATTACCTGTAACAAAAATTTCCTTCCCCAAAATACATTTATGTTATTTTTATTTTTTCTTTCAGGGTAAAGATCAACCTGAGTCTAGGTCTCGTGGTGCTAATAGTAACTCTAGTCGAGGTAGTAAGTCTGGTGCAGATCGTCAATATGGTCGCGGTTCTTCAGCACAATATTATACTTCTGGTATGTTTGATAATTAATAATTAGCTTATGTACTTGTAAGAAGTTCTCAATTATGAGTAGTAATTTGATCACTGGAGACATAGCTGACCAATTTGTTATATTACAGACTCTTCGTTGCATGGGAAGACGACATACAAGAAAGAAAACGGTTCAGGTCCTTATTCAAGTTCGTTATCCTCAGTACATGGTGGGTCAGGGAATAATAGAAGCAGAGGACCTCCAGGCCCCAGGTATTATCTGTGTGAACTTGTTGTAGTTAAGTGGATATTAGAAGTCTGTACTTCTCGGGTACAATGTATGATATGATTATTTAGTTGAGAAAGCAGGGGCCAACCAGTAAAATGGTCGTTGTTTTCAAAAAGTGGTTCAGAATAATTATAGTGCTTGTTTCTGTTTGGGAACAAATCCACGGAGGTCCATTCTCTAAATGGACCTTTTTAATAAGAGAATCCTCATAATGCTTTCCATTTCGACTTCTTTAAAATGGACTTTCAGGGAAGTTGCTTAAAATCAACGTTTCCAGTAATCATTTATTATTGCAGAATGGACTTTTAGATCCAAAACTTCCTTTTGAAAAGTGCTTTCCAACATTCTTGTACCACTCCACCCAAATTATTAAGTTATAGGCTTTTAGTATGCATTATTTTTGTTCTATCATAAGATGGTTATTAGGGCAGATCTCCCTTCTGTATTTCTGTAGTTTCTATGTTCATTTAGAAGCTGGTTTTGCATCTTCTCGTTACATGGCCTCCTGCCATGCATATCTCTATCCATGTTTGATAGTACACATCATCCAAGTCATGTTGATCCATACTTGACATTCTTGCAGAACGAGCATGTAGTTCTGGATTTACTGCTAGGTTTTCTTCTATTCTTGAATCTTTTTCCTTGAATTTAATTCAGTGATGATGCCTATGCTGAAAGCAAAGGATACTTGCTGGGGACATCTGATGGATTGCCACCTGTTTCACAGTCAGCCGCTGGACATCAGCCTGCCTGGGTAGGTACTACTGGTCACATGTCCATGGCTGACATTGTGAGGATGGGCAGACCAAACAAGAAAGGATCAGATTCTCATTATGCATCTCATCACAATATTCAGGATCCTTTTGCAAATGAATCACTTCATACAGATCATGCTCCTAAACTAAATCAATCGGAAGTTCCATCATTTCAGCATGTTTCCACCGGTGATGAGTGGCCTTCCATAGAGAAGCCATCTGCTCCTGATGTGATTCCAGTGCAAGAGCATCCTGTTGACCACGAGCTGCATCTTGAAGCGTCCGAGGTATCATATGACAATATTAATCACCAATATGAGGCTGAGCAGGTTCGAGAAGGGGAAGATGACAACTTCGAGAGTTCAGAAGGAAATGATGTGGGATCTGTTTCAGGAGGTGCATCACAGTTGGAGAACGAGTTGTATAAAGACATGGGGCAATACAAATCTGATGCTCATGATTTCGAACATCATGAAGGTGATTTTCCTTTTTAAAAACCAAACGATTTTTTATAACATTCACTCTAACATGTATAACAGCTCTTGATTTGGAGAGTATGTTTAGTAATAATGACATGGGCATTCTGGTGCTGCTTACGAGTTATAGGTTAAAGCCAACTATTAAATATATGAAACTGAGAAGTATGAAATACTGTTGGGCGGTGTAATGTGGTCCAGAAGTTACTTACATAGACAAGTTTCTATGCATCTAGTTGTCATTGCAGTATTCAAGAAATGGATGATTGATTCTTATTTAACTAATGCTCGAGAAATATATGAATGGCATTCAAATCTTATGTACCCTGTTTCTGTTGCAGTTGAAGAAGTTGGTGTTTCAGTTACATCTGTCAATAGAAACTTGCAACAACTAAGTGTAAACAAGGATGATAGAGGGTTTCCATCTGAGGCAAATGCACCTTCTGTTGTAATTCCAGAGCACTTGCAAATTCAAGCTGCTGAGTGCTCCCACTTGAGCTTTGGTAGTTTTGGTTCTGCAATGGAGGCTGCATATCCTTCTAGGACTGAGACATCTGTGCTTGAGAAATCTAACTTGGAAGAGGCACAAAATGAGACTGAAGAATCATCCGGGGGGCAGCTGGATACAAGGTATAGAAATTAGTAATTTTTCAAATCTTGATTTTTCAATTCTCTGAATATTGTAGTCTAAACATCCTTCATTTGATTTTTGTTGCAGACATTCCGAGTATTATGTTGATGACTCTCTTAGAAATACTCCTGATGATGGTTTGTTGCATAGAAATAGTGCTGCTATGGGTAGCTATGATGCATCTTCCGCTCCTCAGCTGGAAGAGTTGAGACCTGAGAGTGTCGATATAGCTCATGGAAATCAATTCCATTTTCCTTCTTCCAGCTCTGGCTATACCTTTGACGATGAACAACGTTTAAATGCTGCTTTCAATCAGACAAGTTCCCAGATGCAGAGTCTAGCTCCATTTTCAAATGTTATGGTACAATATTTCTGCCTTTGGTGTAGGTTCATGAGAGTGTCTTTAAATGTAGAATTGCATGTGGGAGGAAGTCCGGTTTAAGTATTTGGAAAAGTTACGTAAGTACTGTGTGTTTTTCTGAGATGGAAATTGCTGAACATAATCCAATCTTGTTTTGTCATATTATTCACCTTCAGTTTTCTAAACTATTGTAGCTGTAGCAGTGTAGCTTTCATTAGCGTTCTTTTTTATTTATTTTGTTCTTTTTTATTACTGGTTAACAATAGCTTCCCTATCTTCCTATGGATATGTTTAAGTTTGTTTAATTCGTGCTTTCTGATTTGATTTGATTTGTCCTTTCCAATTTGTTCTCATTTATACTTGTGGAAAACTCAAGTCAAAATGTCAAATGGATGTTTTTTTNTGGCTATTTTCACTATTAAGTCCACTCCATTATGATCTTAACTGAAGCTTATTCATTCTTGATGGTATCACTTTGTTTTTTATATTAATTTTATTTACTTTCCTATAACCTTTTTAGCAGCATGCATACACAAACTCACTACCGAGCACTTTGTTGGCCGCAAATGTTCACCCGACCAGAGAATCAGATCTTCAGTACTCACCATTTTCTTTGACTCAATCTTTGGCTGCTAAGTATGGGAACTCTGTCTCCTCAATTGATGCTTCTGCAATCTCTATGTCCGAGGTACTCATTCATCTAACTGTATGGCAACAAAGTTGTTCTTAAAATGCTGTGGTCTAGTCTAATCAGCCCTTACTATTATTTTTAAAAGAGAATATAATACACACATGCATAATTTTACACAGATGACGTGCAAAATATATTTTACACAAACCATTGGATTGACTGGACTTCAGAATATTAATTAAAAAAAAAAAGGCTTTGTAGGATACTTTATATAAAAAGAATTTCAAATTTCTTCAGGCTTTGAAGACTGCCGGTTTACAGTCGAGCCAGCCTGCTCCACAAACGCTTTCTGGAAACAACATTGCCACTGGGCCCCCACTCCCCCAACAACTTGCGGCCGTACATCCGTTCTCCCAGCCCACTCTTCCCTTGGGCCCGTTTGCCAACATGATTGGCTACCCTTTCTTGCCCCAGAGTTACACGTACGTGCCTTCTGCCTTTCAGCAGTCTTTTGCAGGCAATAGTAACTACCATCAGTCACTGGCGGCAATGCTCCCTCAGTTCAAGAATAGTGCTTCTGTTAGTAGCTTGCCACCTCAGTCTGCAGCTGTTCCCTCTGGATACAGTGGTTTCGGAAATAACTCGACCATTCCTGGGAATTACTCGATGAATCCTGCTGCTGCTGGTGGTGCCCCATCTGGAACAAGCTTGAGTTATGATGATGTTTTGAGTTCTCAGCAGTACAAAGATAGTAGTCACTTGCTCTCCCTTCAACAGGTACAGTAATTTCGCTCTTTGCCTGGTTTGGAATATGGGTGCACAAAATTTGGTTAACCTATCCGAACCGACCGAAACCGAAAATCGATTTACACGCACACACACACACACACACACATATATGTATATATGTATCTTTTTTATTCATACCTTTAAGTATAAAAGCATCTCAATGACCCCTAAAATAGCTCAAGCATTAATTTACATTCAAGGTTGGCTTCTTCATAGAAAGTCATGGTTCGAGTCCGAGATCTTCCTTAGAGGAGAATTTAGAATTTATTGAGAAGATTAAATGAGGTGATAAAAATCAAATATTTTGGTTCGGCTAAAAAATAAAATATGGTTTGGTTAATTATTTATTGCAATTAACCGATAATCGAACCGAACTGACTGTTGGATTTTCGGTTAAAAACCGAACCGAACCAAACCAAACCATAAATTTTGGTTCGGTTCGGTTCTTATAATAGATAAACCGAACCGAACCATAAATTTCGGTTTTCGATTTTCGCTTGATTTGGTTTGGTTTTCGAGCTTCAAACTTTGGAATATAGACCAGCATATTTTTCTTTTTTCGATTTTGCGTTGAGGTCTCTGTTTCCTTTAAATCTTTTCGTCTTGGTATCAGCTTTCTGATATTTTTGGATTTTATTGCTAATTTCCCTTTTGGTTCGGTCTAATGACGAAGAGCATTGATTACTATCCAAAACAAATGGTGCATCTTGATTTTTGATTGCTACTTTTCAAATTGAATCTGAGGAGATGATAGTTCTTTACTTGACTTGTGAAGACGACATGTATTATATATTTATGTTTATTTTTTCTTCGCCTCAGAATGAAAACTCGCCAATGTGGCTTCATGGAAATTCAAGAACGATGCCAGCTGTCCCGGCTAGCACGTACTACAATTACCAGACACAAAATCAGCAGCCCGCTGGATTCAGGCAAGTCCAGCAGCAGTCTCAGAATTATGGGTCCCCAAATTACCCGAACTTCTACCACTCTCAGGCTGGGATTTCTCTCGAACAGCAGCAGCAGCAGCAAAACCCTAGGGATGGATCACTCGGAGGCTCTCAGGGACATCCTAAACAGTCCCAGATCTGGCCTAACTACTGATCAACCTCGGTTTTTCAGGGCGCGCCCCATAATGAGTGGAAAAAAGTGACCTTTTCGAGTATAGTTTTGCATATATAATTTGAATTTTATGTGTGCAAAAGTGTTTTGACTTGGGTCACTGCCCTGTGCATCTTGAGGTTGTATCAGCCTTTTTATGGCTGGATTGTAGTTTAGAGACATTTGGGTGCATGCTGATTTATGTTAGTGGAGACATGTTTGTTTTTGTTTTTGTTTTTTTTTTTCCACTTGAGAATTTCAGAGTTTAGATCTGCTTCCTCTAGAGAAAGCTTGCTTTATAGCTTTAAGCTGGTTTACAGTAGCTCAAAATAGAGGGGTCGATCAACTAACCCTGTTTTATGGTCTTGCTTTTCTTTTTTATAACTCGAATACTGTATCATTATTCTGTGTACGATAGGAACTGATTTTCACTTTATTGTGTTGTTCAACATTTTGGTTCCCCATTGGCTTCATCTTACCTTATGCTTTTATTTTCATGGGCCTGTTGACTTCATGTGATCTGAAATCTATGTTACTGTTGACTTTATATGGTCTCAAGCATATGGTCTTTGTGAAATGAAACTACACTTGTATAATAGTAACAGCGGTAGAATCCACACTCTTTCTTGCCATATTTTACTAAGATAGGTAAAATGTAAGAGATTACGAAGTTTCACACATACACGAACTAGGACAAATCAGTAGCAGAATACAAAGCTAGGAATTGAATGCAAACAGAAGAACAAGCTATTACTCTGAGGCTGTCATTGAACAATGGTTCTCAATTTTGTTAGGATGAAATTGAAGAAATTCGAATTTAGCTACATATTCAGTTCGGTAAGACAAAAGCTTCACGACAAGTTCAGTAGGAGATGCTATTTCTTATTCTTTTGTAAGTACTTCATTTGTAGGTTAATCCAGGAAATTGTCACTTCAGAAGGGATCTAGTAAGATGTTCACGGGCAGTCGCCAGTGCTTGAGTAATTGTCTGCAGAGAGAAAAATACAATCACGGGTTACCACAGAAAATGCAAGTTGCTTTCCAGGTGAGGAGTAAAATCTTGGGATTGAGTAAACTACACACCTGTTCGGAGAGCGGTGCTCCAGAATCCACACTGTGACTTGCAACTTTATTAGCAATAGTGTTGGCATCTGTTTCAAGAACAATACTGTGCGAGCAAAGAGGGAAATTCGTCAGAAATATAGCAAAGCAGTTTACAGTTGAAGCTACACACGCATTATCTAAAAGCTCTGCTGCATGTCAAATGCTACAGATAATTGCACAAGTCCCTTTACATTTTAGCTTATGTATGAAAAACTCCACTCATCTAGTCATCTTAGTTGTGTTGTGCATCGCTCGCTTAAAATGTTGTAAATGCCCTATTGAAGATTGTGTTTACTTTTTTATTTCAACTCTCTCTCTCTCTCTCTCTCTCTCTTATTTTATGGGAGTGTGTGTGTACATATGCAGCACGCTGGATTTCATCATTCAAATTAACCCAAGAAAACCATGAACTGAAATTATTTCAGTTAGATTCCTTTTATAGTTTCCCTTCTTTCAAGAATCCATCTAATAGTACTTGAAATAAGCAGATGCTTACCCGCCATCAACAATTTCATCAATGCACAAAAGTATGAGATCCAGGTTTTCCAGTGCCTCCCTCTTATCAACATTAGCCCTAAAACAAAAGAATGATATCATAAAAACACTTTAAATGTATAGAAAGAAGCAAAGGTAGTTACCTAAATAGAAGCAAATGACAAACTTATGGCCAGTACCTAAGTAGAATGTCAACAGCATCAAAGAATCCCTGAAGAACAGAGGCTAAAATGACCTCATTCTCATCTTCACCACCAGTGACATAAAAGTGTACATCTTGAACAAATTTGTAGACAACAATGTTGTTCTCAAACATTGTTATCTCCGCTAAAGATGATGTGAAACAAGCAATCATTAAGGGAGTGAAAACATTAAATGACCACCATATCTAAAGGAACATGGATGAACTTAAAGACGACATGATTATTCACAAAACAAACAGATAACAACATAAACAACTCCATGATATAGACTTTTTGCAACTACAATGATGTAAAAAGCATTTTCAAGTCATAGAACACCTTCAGTCCGAGCATTCGTCTTATGAGTCTTGGTAAATAATGCCTTCTCAAAAGCTTCCTTCACAGTATTGGTAGGCCAGTCATCTGAAAAGTACTTGGCCGCAATACGTTTGCCTTCCGAATCGAGAAGAAGTATGTTCTTTACAGAAGGGCACAAATCCTGGTAAAAAAAAGAAATATATCAATAAAAACCATAGACCTTGGTGAAGAACTAAAGAAAACTTTACATTCATATATCCCATTTTTTTTCCCCCAAACACAACTGTCTTGCTATGCTATTGCTGGCTATAATGCATAAGATAACCTACCTTTTTTCATTCAGAATGTACAGTAAATCCACCAACGCCATTAACAAATAGCTTAAATATTCCTCTAAACACTTCAATCTACATCATTTATCAAAACAAATGTACTGAAATCGAAATCTTTTATTCAAATCCCTTTTCTCAATTCATCATTAGAAATAGTAAATGATTCTCAACAGTTCCCAAGATTAACATGAATTCCAGTTAATTGAAGAGCAACCAAGTTGCACTTCTGCGAGATCTAATAACTTTTAGAAATGAGCTGCTGAGCATTTGAATCCAGTCATGACTGAACAAAAAAGATGCCATGAAGTATCATAAGCTAGCGTTTTCTACGCAGATCGGAGGACAATTTTCCATCAGAGTGTAAGCCGCACGTGTGCGTATGCGCGTGTAAGATATATGTATATATATATATAGAGAGAGAGAGGGAGAGAGTACCATTTTCGCCGGAGAAGATCTAGTCAGCGGCGGAGATAGCGGAGTTGGGGAAGAGAGAGAACCGTAAGCAATTTCTATTTGAAGTTCATAAATCGTTAGTTTGATTATAAAGCGTCAAAGCACGTTTGCCCGTTACTAGCAACACCCCTGGACACGTCACGATGATCCGTCAGAAATCGGGTCGAATCGAGATCTTATCGGGCATCACTCGAATTTTTGATTGGGCCAACTGCTTGTGATCTCAAATTAATTTAACAATGACCCATTAATCATTGGTCAAATGGAGGTATTATCTATTGATTAGAACTCGGTGGAAAGTTACATTTGTTGTAACCCATTGGAGGTTAAACAAGATATTCGTGAGCTCGAACTCATTTCATGAAGATTGGTTATATATCGGTTCGGATTAACATATTGCAAAGCATCATTAGACAGTTGTCAAATCAAGCAAGCCGTTCATGAGCACAAGATCATTTGACGATGACTTGTCACATATTTGGCCTAATCGAGATACCTAAACATCACATGAAACCTGATTACAATTATTATATGAAACTAGTAGTCTGTGTGCGTGAGATCGTTTGATAAACGATGTTAGAATATCACTTGTGACTTGTCCCACATCGTTTATACATAAAAATAGGCAAAACTTATAAGTTTAGTGGACTACCCCTCCTTCCACCAATTGGTTTTGGGATGGAACCTCACTTGGGCTTCATATGGGCTTTCCTTGTCATTGTGCGCTTCATCTGCGTCAGGCTGCGCTCATTTTACTCACGATTCTTACAAACGAGTCGAACTCAAGTTTGTTAGCGTATTTAGTGAGTCGAGTCGAGTTCGTCAAGACTCGAGAATAAGGAATATCATGTAATTTTAATTTGATCCTAGTTCAACTCGTTAAAGACCGTAAGGGTCGTGTTTGAGTAGCGAATATGATGAATCGAGTTGCTCATTTAATTAAGGAGCCGTAACTAGATTCGATAAAGGCTCGAGCCCTAACTTGGACATCAGAACAGAACTCGGTTCGTTTACACCGATCCAATCTCATTGAAGTCTTTTATTAGGATCCGAATTTCTGGGCTATTCAGGCCCAACAAATCCTTACCGGCCCGACCCACTGTTTAGCCACCTCAAGCGTTAGTATAAACAAGTGTCAGAAAATTGCAGCCCTCAAAATGACGTTTCACTCTCGACTCTGTGCTCTCTCCTCCTTCAGAGCACGTGTACGTGGCCTTCTCTCTCTCTCTCTCTCTCTCTCTCTCTCTCTCAACACGCACACAGACACACACTGATTTCATAGTTCCCTGTGATTCTGTAGGTTTTATCGACACCGCTATCGCCTAGAGTCTGGGCAGACCATGGATGGTACTTTCCCTGCGAATCTTCCATTTCCTGTGAAATTTATTTGTTGGTTACTTGTGATTTGGTTACCTCGCGTAACGTTGGCAATTACATGTGAAAAATCGTAGTCCGATCGGATCCGTAGTATGTTTTTTGGGCATTCTAACAGTAGCTGATCCTTTCACGTTGTTATTTTGTTTTTTGTGTTCTGTTGATTTGTGGCGACATTGGTTTGAAAATGAAAATGAAAAAAAAAAAAAAAAATTGTATATGGATACAGCTCAAGAATTTGTGTAGCTGCTAAAACTCATGGTGATAAGGGAAGATCGTCGAATGTTATCGGGCCTAATGGGATTAGGGCGTATAATACTGGCCAAGGTTAGTGGTCGTCCACTGGAGCTACGCCTCCCCAGTTTTGCGATTTATTCGCGACTTTATTTGCGACTTTATTCGAATAGTGATAATTAGACAGGACTTGCCTGCAATGGATGCTATTTTTTTACTCTGAATCGAAATTGTAGCATATAAATCATTGGCATTTTGCAAATTGTTAGCTTAGAGTTGTTCAATACTGAGTACTCTCTGAATTCCCTGGTGTTCGTGGGTTTGTAATCTATCTTTAATGTTTTTTTTTTTGGAGGGCTTTGACTTGTTTTTCTCATTTGCTCCAGATTTGTCGAGTAAGAAGTGTGTGCCGTGCGAGTCCAAGGATCTGAGGGCTATGACTGAGGATGCAGCCAACATTTTGATCCGTCGAGTATGGATATCCATATCGATTACTGAACGCTAGTTTGTTTGATTGCAGTTTTTTAGTTCGTTATGAATAAAATCTGTTTAACTGCAGTTTGTTATTCGTTATGATTATTCAGGTTCCTGAATGGACTTTGGAGAATGACAATGGTACCCTTAAGCTGCATCGATCATGGAAAGTGAAGACCTTTGTTAAAGGAATGGAGTTTCTTCGCCTCGTAGCAGACCTTGCTGAAGCAGAAGGTATATTAATCACCTTATATCATTTATTTTAGGTACATTATGATCAAATTGGTCCCAGGTTAACATTTTATGTCTCTTGTTTATTTTAGGTTTATTATTGTACCCTATGCATATGTTGTTTGTTCTCCTTCGACACTCAGATTTAGATCTCAAATAAATGCTTATATTACCTTTTTGTTTTAGGCACTTCTGTCTTGATATTTTCGTCGTTCTATTTATATTAATTTCAAACTGTGGTGGCAATTCAATTTCACAACAAGTTTACCCAACTATTGAGTTTGTTGTGTTGGTATATTAAATCCCATTGGTTGCCTAATTTCTTGTTTCTGGGTCGTGTAAATGTCTCCATTTAGGTCATCACCCAGATCTTCATCTTGTTGGATGGAACAACGTAAAGATTGATATATGGACTCATGCCGTGGGTAAAGATCACCTGGCTTTTTCTATTTCTCACAACTGAGTTCTTTATTCCTTTTATTTTTCGGATAGTTTGGTTCTACTTATGCAACTTATCAATTCTTCTTGAATAATTTGTTTCAGTTGATTTGAATAATTGTTCATCCGTTCATTTGACATTTATCATGGGATAAGAGTTGATTAAGCAGTAAAAATGGATGCCATAAGACTGAAGAGCTTTCAGGCATTTCAGTTTGAAGCTTGCCATATGATGCTCGGTGTTCTGTTTGTATACCACATTAATGAAAAATATGCCTGAAAGTCAAAAAGAAAAATACTTGATACGTTTTGTTAAACCTTATTTTAAAGCAACAAGGATACGTAATTTTTTCTGCCCATTTTGGAGTAATTATAAATTTACTACACTTATGTGCGTGATTTGCTGTGAGTTTCAATCGTTTGCCCTTCGATATAGTTCTTGTTCATGGTGTAGGTGGACTCACTGAAAATGATTTCATACTAGCCGCGAAGATAGGTGGACTCAATCTTCATCACCTTCTAAGGATTACACCCTCTAACAAGTGACTGCTTGTATTAACAATCTGCAATGAATATCTTTTTCTCTGATACTGTCTACTTCCAAGATTCAAGAATGGATGTTGTAATGGATATTTTTATGATACTGTTCTTTGGAGGTAGTTTGAATAATAGTTCATCTACTGCCTTAAACTGAAGATGCCTTTTAAAGTTTTAATAGTGCAACTGATTGTTGAAAATTGATAAAACTCAGGTGAACAAAATCCAGAACCTCACATTTTTTAACCATGCATGTTGATTTCAGATTGAATTTTGTTTACTCATACATTCTAAGTTCGACACTTTGTTACTTCCAAGAGCACAAAATTGATTCAGTTGATTCCAATTCAGGGTGTTTACTTTCAAGAGCACAACTAGGGCTGCAAACGAGTCGAGTCGAGCATTGACCTTATCGAGCAAGATTGATTTTTTTTTTAACCTGCTCGAGCTCGTTGAGCTTGATTTATGACGCTCGCGACTTGACAAAAGAAGAAAATTGCTCGAGTTCGGCTCGAGATCGATTGAAATCAAAATATTCGCAAGATTACCGAGCTGACTCGAGTTTGACTCAAATTTTAAATAAAATTACCAGTACACATATAAAATGTTCGAGCTGCTCGAGCTCGATCAAACTTGAGCTCGAGTTGAGCTTTGACTCGAGCTCTCGTGAGCAGCTTGTGAGCCGCTCAGTTCGTATACAGCTCTAAACACAACACACGAGTCTAAGTCCATATCTCAAAAAAAGTCTCAATCTTGCACTAAACCCAAAAACACCATTATCAGCTATGGCTTTTGCAAAAGTGCAGTCAAATAAACCTCCCCATCCTTAACCCGACCCGAACCAGAACCCATTTTATTCGCCACGGCCCACTTCACGACCCGGTACCTCAATTTCCCGATCAACGGCCCGAAAACCCCATCCAAATCCGACTTCTTGCTCGAAAACCGGTCGAGGAAAAAGTATCCACCTTTCCTCAAAACCCTATCGACATCAAAGAACATAAACTCCATCGCGGCCACCGGAATCCATCGGTTAACGGCGTGCCCACACCTCACCAGATCCACCACCCCATCGAAAACCGGCAGCCTCTGCTGCAGGGGCGCATGCAGGGGCACCAATCCCCTGTGCGCAGCCACACTGCTGTACGGTGTGCCCAGGTTCATTGTGGTGGTTAAAACGGTGACGTTCCGGAGGAGCTTCATCTGGGCGGCGAAGGTGGCGGCGCCGCCGCCGACGTCCACGGCGAGGCGGATGGCTGTCCCGGCGGTGTCGGCGAGTTGGAAGAGCTGCGGGAGGGGGAGATCGAGCTCGGTTCTGTAGGTGAGGAATTTGGTTTTCTCGGCCTGCATGTCGAGATTGGAATCGGGAATTAGGTTTTCTGGGAGTGGGGAGAAAGGGTCGGTGGGGAGGGAGGCGGCGGCGGCGGGGAGGGTTCGGGAGAAGCAGCGGCGGCGGGGGAGGGGGTGGCAGCCGCGGAGGATGAGGGCCTCGGCGAGGGACGGGTCGTCGT